TCACTTTTCACATCTTCTCAGGCCTGGGAGGAAGCACAGGCCTCCCTTGCCCTCCTTGTCTCCCATGCTCCCATTCAGCCCGGGAGACCTCTCATCTACTCTCTACCACCAGAGACTCACCTGTCCTGGATCCCACACAGAAGTGAGGTCATCCAACTCCTGGTCTTCTTTCCCTTAGGATAAAGTGTTTCCCGTTCATCCAGGTTGAAGTCAGTATTAGCACTTCATCCTTTGTTATGGTTGAGTAATATTCCATTGCACAGAGAGAACGTTCATCAGCCCACAGATATTTAGGTTATATCTACCTTTTTATTATGTTCAATTCTGCTATGAACATCCATCTTACAGGAACTGGAAGCCTTTTATCTGCCAAGGGCCATTTAGATATAAGATCATCCACAAAATTATCTACACAGACAGACGGCCAAGGGCAGCCAATGAGAGAGCATGCGAGAAGCCTGCGTCCATCCTGTCGTGTCCCAACTGGCCCGCAGGCCAGATGCCCTCAGGCTTCCATTGATTGATCAATGGATTGATCGCACCGGGGTATGAACTCAGGGCCCCACGCTTACTTGGCAGGTGCTCTACCACTGGAGCCACATCCCGTAGCCTGTGTGTTTTCCTTTCTTTGTGTAGATCCCAAAAAGCAGCTGCAGCCCCACATTTAACATTCCAGAGAGGCTGCAGTACCTTCATCCCTGTCAGCAATGCGTCAGGGCTCCAGTTTCTTGACAACCTTGCCAGCACTTGTTGTCTGTTTTCTTGATGAATGCCGTCTTGGTTGTAAAGCTGAGAAGATGTAGCTCACTGTGGTTTTGCATCCATCTTCCCTTTACCCTGATGGCCACTAACAAACATTGAACATCTGTTCCTGTGTGTGTGTTGGCTACTTGTATGTAGGGTTTGTTTGTTTTTAAGAAATGTGGCTTCCAGTCGTTTGGCCATGTGTAGTTGGACTATATATCTTTTATTATTAAGTTGCAGGAGTTGTTTCTGTATTCTAGATGAACTTCTCTTTAGCAGATAGGTAATTCGTATCTATTTGATCCCATTTTTTTAAACTTTCTTTTCCTTTTCTATTCTTTTTAGTGTTTTCTAGTCCCGACACTTGAATTAAAGCCCTGAGTTTTCTACTTGGTCACTCCATGGCTGGTGCTCTACTACTTGGGTCATACCTCCAGCCTGGCTTTTTCCTGGTGGTTTTGGAGATGGAGTCTCAGAGATTTTCTTCCTGGGTTGGTTTTGAACCACCATTTTCCAGAGTAGCCAGGATTACAGGTGTGTACACCAGTGTCCAGCTAATTTATTTTCTTTCTTTCCCCATATTTCCTTCCTTTCTACCTACCTTTCTTCCTTTCTTTAAATTAAATTTAGATTTTTGGAGATACATAATTCTTCTTCGACTACTGCTACTACTATTTTTGTTATCTATCTGTAACACAATTGCCTAATCAAGATCAGAAAGATTTGTGCCTGGACTTTCTTCTGAAAACTTGGACAGTTTTAACTCTTACATTTAGTTTATGACTCATTCTTAGTTAATTCTGTGTATGGGGTGAGGTAGGGGCGTAGCCCTATTCGTTTGTATGTCTAAATCTTGTCTTATTTTTTATGTTCTGTCGCATTCTAGGAGTGTTGGTTGTGTTGCTTGCTTGCTGCTGACCTGGTCGAGATAGATTCCCTTTATCCCAGCTACTGTGGCTAATAAAGCCAGCTTCCCAGGATGCACCCTGCTCCCGACGGATAGCTACAGAAGTCCCTGGAGACTGGAGTCAGCGATGCCCTCCTCGTCCCCTGCCCTGGCGACAAAGACACGGGGAAATCCTGCTCCAAGCAGCTCTTTCCTTCGGCTGAGCTGTCAGCCGTTCCTCGGGCCTTTTGCTAAAACACGAATATTTGTATTGCAGCTGAGTTTGCACATCTGAGTTTGCAGACACTGGAATTTCTTTAGCTGGAGACAGGAAACAGGGACAAGACCTGTTGCGACAAACTGCCGGACGTGCCACACCACTTGGTGCCGAATGTACAACTCTGAAAAGGCCAGCCTGCGGGGCCGCCACAGGGACAATGCTGGGAAAGTCCCCTGGGAGGCAAGCACCGTGTACACAAGAAGGAACAAAGTACTATGTGGAGAGAGAGGGGGGAGATGAGAAATGTCAGCACTGGGGGGCCGCAGGGACTTCAAGGGGGAAGCTGAGAAAGCTCTGGAGAGCGCACACTGCCTCCTTCCTCTGGGGGTGCAGTGGTGGAGGGGAGCAGGGGGCATTAGCACTGCACGGCGGGCGGGAACCCTGCCCTTCCAGCACCTTTGGGAGAACGCTCTGCCCCTCCCCCCCCCCGCCGGCCTCCTGGGCCTCTGTGCCAGGAAATGGCCTGAGCCGGGAGCGAGCAGCACGCCGCGCCCACAGCCTCACCTCTGGCTCCAGCCCAAAGCCGAGCACAGCACGTGGACTCACCCAGCACCGGGCCAGGGTGCGGGCCAGCTGCCCGCCAGCCTGCTGGCTCCTGCTTCCGAGCTGGCTGCTGGCTCTTGGAGAAGGGCCTGGCTGCACACCCAGTTGGCCAGTGGTGAAAAGAAGAGGAGGAACATCTGTCCCCTGCCGCTCAGGCAGGTCGGGGTGCCCGACGGGGGCACTCAAGACTGTGGGGTGTCACGGCGGCCGTCTTGTAGCCTCCCCCTGCCAAACATGCACACACCCTGGCCTGGGGTGCTGGCAGGTGTGGCGTCTCTGGAAATACAGTGTGTACAGATGTGGCTGGGTTCAAGGTCGTCCTGCATTCGCGGTGGAGCCTAAATCCAATAACAGGTGTTTAAACAAGAGACGTTGGGGTGAGGCCCACAGGAAAGAGAGGCTGGAGACTGAATGGGGGAACTAAGGAAAGGGGGGATGACCGGAATCTGGAAGGGCAGGAAGGAGCGCTCTCCCAGGCTTTGGAGGGGCCCGCACCTCCATCGCTGGCGCAGGACCCGTTCCTGTGGTTGTCAGCTGCGGGCAACGCCGCCCCTTTGTGACCCCAGCTCCAGGACCCTCGCATGGTTGCTCAGGCCGTGAGCCCAACCAGAGCACTAAGTCCACAGCAGTTTGCTTGTCCCAGGAGCTGGGACTGCTCCTGCAAAGGGAGACGCACACCCCCTGCAGGCAGTGGGGGAGGAAGGGAGAGGGGAGGCAGGCAAGGCAGTTCAAGGCCCAGCCTGTGTCCAAGTATAAAGCTGAGCCCCCTCCCATTCCCGGCCCATCCCAGGGTTGAGAAGGGGGACTGGATTCAACGAGCAAACAGAAGAGGCCGGACACTCAAGCACAGATGCCAGGTTTAATGTTTCCTGGAAAGGGCGGTGGGGTACGGGAGAGCCAGGCAAGCCCTGCCCGCAGCGAGGCACAGACAGGCCTGCAGGCCCGCAGCAGGCCCCAGACACACCGCTTGGAGATTGCAGCCGGCAGAATCCTTCAAGGGGACACATGCGGACCCCGCACCGGGCATCCGGGCCCCAGGACAAAGGAAGGCTCGGTCACCAGGCTGAGCAAAGGAAGCCCCCGGTGGGGGGGTTAGGCGACCAAAGCTGGTAGCGAGCGTGACCCTGAGCACCCGCTTGGCGCGGGACAGGGCAGCACTGTCAGCTGCTGTGGACAGGGCGTCGGTGGATGCACCAGCCCAGCCCACCGGTCCCAGGACAGCCTCTGACAGTCACTGCCCACTCAGGCGACTCGGAGCCAAGCGGTTGGACACGTATTTCCTGCCCTAGGAACAGACAGGGGCGGAGGGATGCTCTCCAACCCCTCGTAGCTCTTCCCTGCTCCGGGGTCCAGAGACAGTCCCTCCCAAGCTGCCATAAGGGCTGCTGGCCACGAGACCAGGTGAAGGCCCCTTCCATCTGGACGATTCCACCCGCCTGGCTACAAATGAACGTGGCAGATGCCGAGGTGCAGAGCAGGGAAGAGACAGGACTGGGCGCAGTGTGAGGTGCTTTGATAGGAGCAAAAGCAAACACCCAGGGCCCTCCACGGCCGGCCAGCTGGGGAGGAGGAACGAGGCCTGAGCCACGGGGCAGGCCTGGCGATCGCGCGTGCGGCGCCTCAGGGTGGCCTGGAGAGAGTGGGGCGGAGCCTGCAAGCCCCACAGGCTTTGCTGCTTGTGGATACAGCTAGGGGTCTGGGAGCCTGTGAGGCCCCTCCACCCACAGGTGCCCTGGCACCGCAGTGAGCAGGCCGTGTCTGCCAGCCAGGAGCCAGCTGCAGAGGGCCTGGTGGTCCCTCTGGGGAGCTATTTTTTGGGGGGGGTCGGTCGGGGGGCTTGAACTCGGGGCCTGGGCGCTGTCCCTCAGCTCTCCAGCTCATGGCGAGCGCTCTACCGCTTGAGCCACAGCGCCACTTCCGGTTTTCTGGTGGTTCCTTGGAGATAAGAGTCTCACGGACTTTCCTGCCCGGGCTGGTTTTGAACCGTGATCCTCAGATCTCAGCCTCCTCAGTAGCTAGGATGACAGGCGTGAGCCCCCAGTGCCTGGCTGGGGAGCTGACTCTTGGCCCAGCCCTAGCCTCCTCACGGCTGCGGCTCAGGAAGACCCACGTCACCTTGAGAAAGGCCACAGACTGGCAACAAGCCACGGAGGTAAGCCCACCCCGGAAAGCCAGAGGAATTTCTGGACCCCACAGCCCCTCCCTGGCCCAGGAGTTTCCCTTCCTCCTGGCTCCCATGCAGGGTCTCCGCACCTCTCCCCAGGACCGCTGGCTGGAAGAGCAAAAAGAACAACTCGTTTTCGGTGGATTTACTTTTCTCCCTTGAAGCCTTCAGCAGTTGCTCAACTGCTTCCAAGATGGAGAGCTGGGCAGTTCCTTCGGCAAAGCCCTGGCTGCCAGAGGAGGTGCCGCAGGGTCGCTTAAGGCTATGTACACAGAAGGGAGTGGGAGCTGGAGCTGGAGGCTGGGAGCTTCTCACAGGCCAGCCTGCCCTGATGACTTCATCCATCCTCAGCTCGCTCCCAACCAGACCCCGTGTGACAGCCAGGGGCGTCTTGCAGAACAGAATGCCAAAGCTAGGGATGCAAAGGCTGAGAGAGCCAGGGCTGGGCAGAGAGTTGCTAAGCCAGCCTGGGGACCTGCAGGGCGCAGCAATCCCCCCCCCCCCCCGTGAGAATCCCAGGATGGGGCGGGGCAGGGTGGGGCGGGGGCGGGGCATCCACTAAGGCTCGGCGGCCGGCTTGACCAGGTAGCCACTGAAGGTGATGTAGGTGTCAAACTCGTCGCTGAAGATGGCGTTGTCGCGCTCACCCTTGAAGAGGCGCACCCACACCTCGTCCTGCTCCTGCAGCTCCAGCATCAGGCTCTGGCTCTGCATGATGCTGCGGTCGCTCACCTGCGCGTACAGAATCACCATCTCCTCCGCGTTCCTCATGATGTGCAGATACGTCTCTTTCTGGTTCCACGTGTGCACGTTGAGGCTGAAGAAGTAGATGCCAGGCACGTAGCAGTAGAACTTGCCGGTGAACATGTTGAAATGGCTGTAGAGGTTCACGAACTCCGTGTCGAAGACCACCGTCTGGTAGTAGTCATTGCTGTGCAGTGGCTTCTTCCGGCCCACCGAGAAGGCCGCATAGTGGTTCTTGCACCGGTCACCGGGAGACCCCATCGAGCCCTTCTGCCCCTTGGGGCCCGCATGGCCCCTGGCGCCCGCAGAGCCAGTCTTGCCATACTTCCCTTGGAGTCCTCTATCTCCCCGGTCGCCCTTCTCTCCTACAAGGGACAGAAACACTGCCTGGGTGTTGCCCTGGTTGGACGTCATGGCTCTGACGTGATCTCAACCTGAGCCCTGGTGGATTAGGAGTCTGCCATCAGTCAAGCTAGTAGACTCCATTTCCAGGGTTGATCTATTTCCATCCAGGAGCAATACTTTCTCTCTCTCTCTCTCTCTCTCTCTCTCTCTCTCTCTCTTTCCCCCTTCTGGAAAGCCTGGCAAGGATGAAGGAACATATGGGTTTGTCCACAAGCAACAGGCTGCATGGCCAGGCCCAGGCTCTCTCCAAGCAAATGGGCTACAGATGTCTGGGGCTCAGCTCAGGGTCCAGGGTACAAACCTCCTCCCAGGGCTGTACAAGACAGAAAGCGGGCTGGAGAGACCAAGCCGCCCAGCAAAGAACTCAGAGAACCCAGACCTGCGGCCTGAAGCACCCCTCCTGCTCTTGTTCCCGTGGGCTCTTCCCTGCCAACCTCTTCTCCTGGAGATGGGTCACAGCTTCAAGATGGGAGCTTCTTACTCCCCCCGACACACACCCCCCAGCCACTCCCCCAGATGGCAGCTGGGCCGGACTCCTGTCCCTCCAGTTCCGTCCCGTCTCTGCACCCGCTGACCTTTCAGGATTGTGATGTTGATCTGGGGTGCGGGGATGGTCTGGTACACGGGGGTCCCCGGGTCACAGCAGCGGTAGCACCGGGAGGCCAGGGGCTCCTCGCCCTGCCTGGAACTGTGTTTTTCATCATTTTCTTCCGCTCTGAGGAAATTGAAACATCAGAGTAAAAGCCCCACACTGTCAGGGCCCGGGACTCACCTCTCACCTGCTGCCCGTGAGTCTTGTGGGCCTGGGGTACCCGCCTTGCCATGCCCTGGGCGGGGGGGGGGGGGTCCTGAACCAAACTGCAGAAAGATTTCACCTCTCCCATTATAGTGCAAATGGAAAAGGCAGCAAAACCCTGAGCCCGCAGGACAGGTTTGCTCGGAGATGCAGGCCGTCATTCCCCTCTGGGGAAGCCATGTGCTCCCCGGGCCCATTTGTGAAGCTCCTAGCCGGGGCACGGTGACGGCTCCATGCTGCCACCTTGGGGCGCTGGACAGCATTGCATGATCCGCGAGCTTGCCCAGCACTAGTGCTGTGCTACAAACCTGCCTGGGGTAGCAGCAGAGCCCCCCCTTAATCCCAGACCATCCAGGCTCGAGTCAACATACCCTGAGTTTAACCACCGCAAGCCCAGCGTCAGAGATGGACACTCTCTCCCCAATCCATTTCCTGAGCTACAGACCTTCAACATCGAACTTCACAGCAGCAATCTCCAGCTCAGCATTCAGGGGACCCACAGATGTCCAAGATTGAAGTCCCAGAGCCTTCTGTGTGTGTGTGTGTGTGTGTGTGTGTGTGTGTGTGTGTGTGTGTGTCTGTGTGTCTGTGTGTCTGTGTGTCTGTGTGTAGTGTGTGTGTGTGTATTGCGTACCTGTGTGTGTGTGCTGGTACTGGGGCTTGAACTCATGGACTAGGGGATTGTCCCTTAGTTTTTTCATTCAAGGTTGGCACTCTACCACTTGAACCACACCTTCACTTCTAGCTTTTTTTGCTGGTTAATTGGATATCAGAATCTCATGGACTTTCCTGCCTGGGCTGACTTTGAACTGTCATCCTCAGATCTCAGCCTCTTGAGTAGCTAGGACGACAGGTGTGAGCCACCGGCGCCCGGCTGGGACCTTCTCTTTCCAAACATTTCCAGTATCATCCCCAAGAGGCTCAGATGGAGCCTTCTGCCTCAGCACTGGTCTTACGTCCACACCCACCGGGTCCCGAGGAGCGAGCCCCTGCCCCAAGGTGCCCCCAGGACTGGACCCAGGCCCTCATCATCTCTAACAAACCAGTACTGTTTGGACCGCGCTCCTAGATTTACTTCTCCCATGATCCATCCTTCCTCACACTTCCCTCCAGCACTCCTTCTAGAACACCACAGAATGCAAACCTCCCTGTGACTCCACATTCCCTGCTGAGGGGGACCTCAGTGTTGACCCCCACCCCGGCCCGCCCTGCTTCCCAAGACGCACACAGCATTCTGATTGCCCTTTTCTCCTGCACCTGGAAGATCCCCAGGTACTCTCTGAAACACAATTCATGCTGCTGGTCAGCCTTCCCAGATCTCACACCTCCCTCTTCTGTGACCCCAGCACCCCTACTATGTGCAGAGCCCGCCTGGCTGCATGTGTCTGTTTCCTTACAGCCAGGGGGCTAACAGATGTCATTCTAGTGCTTCCTTGGTGCCTAAGGGGTGTCTGACTGACAGCAGGCACTTGATCAGTTCATGTTTGTTACATTAAAAACAAGAGAGAAGCTGAGCACTGGCGTTTCACACCTGTCATCCTAGCTACTCAGGAGGCTGAGATCTGAGGATCACAGTTCAAAGCCAGCCTGGGCAGGAAAAGTCTATTAGATTCTTATCTCCGATGAACCTCCAGAAAACCGCAAGTGGTACTGTGGCTCAAGTGGTAGGGTACTTGCCTTGAACTGAAGAGCTGAGGAGCAGCACCCAGGCCCAGAGTTCAAGCCTCATGACCAACAAAAACAAAAACAAAACACCACTAGCAGACGTGCTCTCCAGTGGGGTTAGGATGGGCTTGGTCAGGATCAGACATGAATCCCGAGTCACTGAAAGGTCCTGCCTTCCTTCAGAACCAGTCTCCCCTGGGATGGCTCCCTGGTATTGGGTCTGCCCTTTGGATCTCCCCGAAACCCCACGCTTTGTGGTGCTATATACCCTAGTCTTAACCTGGCCAGGGCCGGAGCTCCTGGGCACCAGGCATCAGGGCCCCTCACCTCTTAGAGTAGTCTGGCGTGGCCAGTGGCTCTTGGGTCCCCTGCAGCTCCTGCGGCTCCTGCTGGTCACGTGGCACGTGGCTGAGGACCAGGCCCCAGGCAAAGGCCAGCAGCAAGCAGCATCTCAGCACCCATCTCCATCCAGAAGAGCCCATCTTCCCCCTGGGCCCTGGGGGGAGACACACACGAGGAGAGAACCGGTCACAAAACAGCAGCAAGAGAAACAGCGCACCGCCCATGCCACCAGGAAGTGCTCGGCCACACTGAGACTGCGCACACGCGTGTGCATGCACACACACACACACAGAGTCACGCATGCACCTGCCCTCACACAACTGTGCACAGGCATGCATTCACATACAGACATGTCTACACATACACACACACTCACATGCACGCCCATGCCCACACTGGAGCCTCGGCTCATTGCACACCACGGAGCACAGCCCTTCTCCACCAGCCCAGACAGACACGCAGGACGCAGCGTGCACCAGCCACGGGCCCCTGACCAGACACGCAGGACGCAGCGTGCACAGCCACGGGCCCCTGACCAGACACGCAGGACGCAGCGTGCACCAGCCACGGGCCCCTGACCAGACACGCAGGACGCAGCGTGCATAGCCACGGGCCCCTGACCAGCAGCGAACGCAATCCCAGATGAATCTTGAGCACTCACAGTCCACTTCTTTTGCTTGTGTGTGTGTGTGTGTGTGTGTGTGTGTGTGTGTGTGTGTGTGTACACACGAAGGCTGAAAGCTGCTTTCTGTCACCAGGGGGCGCTCCGTGGGGCTCTCTAGCATTTAATTCGGGGAAGGTCATAGCTCGCTCAAGCAAGCCCTTGACTCCCACTGGTTGGTGCTTTGGGAACAAGCTTGGGACAGATCTTCCCCCTCCAGCATGTAGACCGTCCTAGAAACGTGATTCTTGGGGATTCCCCGTGAGCCTGTTGGGGCGGCGCTTGGACTTGAGCTCGGCACAGCATCCCTTTGCTTTCAGTCTTAAGAGCATCTCCCCCAGTTCATTTGGGGACACAGGAGGCCTGCCAGCCTGCAGCCGGAGCCGCTGGGGAAACCCTCCCCGGAATGCGCTTCTCACCTTCCTAAATACAACCCAAAGGTGAAGTCTGACCCTCAGAAGACCCCACCCCGTGGCACCAGTCCCCCCTGTTTAAGGACAAGTCAAACCCTCCATCTGATTTCTCTAGTTGTTAGATTAATGCGGCCTTCCTCTCCGTGGAGGAAGCCGCCACCTCTTCCCCTGCAGTCCTCACCCAGGGGCTTTGTCCCCTGTGAGGAACAAGGCCCTGGCCCTGACCAGGACGCTCAGACACGGCTTTTCCTCCGTGTGCGTGGAGAAGAAGAGGCCTGGGCCCAGGAGCAGGAGCTCAGTCCTCTGGGAGGCCAGGGGCAGGAGCTCAGTCCTCCTGGAGACAAGAAGCAGCACTCAGTTCTCCTGCAGAGTCGAGTCAGATGTGAGAGGAATGAGAGGGAGCTGGCCATCCTCCTCTGCCCCACCCCGCCCCGCCCCCGCCTCCCTCTGTCTCTGGCACACATTTTGGTATGCATGGCACCTCCCTACCTGCTTTAGAAGCTCAAACAACATGCGTGCATGCATGCGTGCATGTGTGTGTGTGTGTGTGTGTGTGTGTGTGTGTGTGTTTATATAAGCATGTACTCAAACCATCCATCCATCCTGAAAGGGGCTCTCAGGCTCTTTGGCTGTACCACGCACCCTGTTTCTCAAACACGGCTGTACACACCCGGGCAGATTGCCACCAGTGTGCAGATCCCGACTCAGCCAATCAAGACCAGGACCTTTCTGCATTTCCAACTCATGCCTGGCTGCTGGCTACCACTTTCACACCAGCTGCTTGCCACCCCAGCTCCTGGCTCCCGTCCCTGGCCTGCATCCTTCCTCCTCCTCCTCCTCCTCAGCCAGGAGCACCTTTGACCTCCTCTCTTCTGCTAAGATGCTGTAGAAGGGTGGAACATGGCGCCCAGCACTGCGGTCCTTATTCCCGCCCCAGGGGTTAGGGCTGGGCACGAGTAGACTCAACCTTGAGCGCTTCTCTGGTGAGCTAACCCCACGTGCACCCCGGGGAGTCCTTTAAGGAGACAACAGCCATTCACTATTAAACAGCCACTTGTGCCTGAGAGAACAGAGGTTCGGGAAGTTAGCCTAGGACTCTCAGAGGGGCAGCTGCCCTTCAACTCCGCCGGGCTGACCTCAGGTGACCACACTTCCTGCCTCCCCAGCCAGCCTGCGACTGCAGCACCTCAAGTTCCCCCCCCCCCGCCCCCGAGCTCTCCCAGACTTTGATTTTCCCGTCGTCCCAGACCATAGAGACTTTTGCTTGGCTTTGAGATTGCTCCCAGCCAGGCGGTGCAGCCGCTTTCCTGTCTGGATGTCTGTCCCCTCGTCCAGCCTTGACCGGCCCCGCATCCCTCAGCCGCCTGGCCCGAGGTGCTGCTCAACAAATATTTGTCAAGTCCAGTTCTTGAAATCTGTTTATTTCTCTATTTCGGTATTTCCTGTTTGGGGTTTTGCTTTGTCTTTTTTCCCCTTGGTGCCTTGTTAATTATTCTTTTTGTTTTCCTTTTATGTGTTAAGCTTGCATCAGTTTAAAAAAGGAAGTTTTCTTTAAACTTGTTTTATTTTGGGGTTTTTTCTTTTCTTTTCTCCTGTAGGTGGTTCAAGGGTTTGTGCGACAGCCTCACGCCCACTGGGCAGGTGCTCTACCTGAGCCACACCTTTACCTAGACCCAGACCCCCGCCGGGCAGGTGCTCTACCCGAGCCACACCTTTACCTAGACCCAGACCCCCGCTGGGCAGGTGCTCTACCCGAGCCACACCTTTACCTAGACCCAGACCTCCTCCTTGCGCCTTCTCCATAGGTAGGACGACAGGCAGGAGCCACCAAGCCCGCTTGTGTGTTGAGATGGGTTCTGCTAGCTTTCTCGTCCATGTTGGCCATAAACCTGAATCCTCCTCATCCCTGCCTCCAGAGTAGCTACGATGACAGGTGTGAGTCACTGCGCACAGCTGCTTTAGTTTTCTTTTCCAGGAAGGGTCTTTCTACGCAACTCAGGCCAGCCTCAAAACTATTAGGTAATCAGGATATCCTCAGATTTATACGGGGGCTTGTGCTCGGGAGGGCCTGGGCGCTGTCCCTTGGCGGGTACAAACCTCGGCCTCCCAAGTGCTGCAATTCCAGGCGTCTTCCACCACACCTGGCTTACACTGGCTTCTGGTTTTGGTTTTTTTTTTTCTGAATTTGAAACCATATACATGCCTTTTGATAAATGCAAATATAGTGGAAAGTACCAGCAAAACCCCATGGAGTTTTGGCCTTAGCAGTGTTGGTATTTGGAGCCAAATCCTTCCTTGTTGGGCACTGTCCTGTGCACTGGGGATCTCCAGCAGTGCCATGAGCTCTGCCCACTGTGTCAGTTAGGACACACACACACAGTGACAATACAAAACTGTTGGCTTGCCCAGTATCCGCCCTGGGGGAGAACGGTCCCCAGCAGAGGGACAGTGCAGGGTGTCCACTGGAAGCAGCTTTCCTGAGGGCTCATGTCTACCCAGCCTGACAAAACAGACCTAGCACACCTTGGACATGAAAGGTGGATGGGCCCAGGACCCAGCCCCAGCCAGGTGAGAGCAGGCACTTCAGTGACGGGGGTGACAGGCAGAAGGCAGGCAGGGGCTCAGGATGAGGGCCAGCTGGTGCGGGCTCACCCCATCACCTGCTCTGTGTGCCAGGGAAGGCCAAGACTGAAAACTTTCCCTCTTCATCACCATCGTGTGTGTGTGTGTGTGTGTGTGTGTGTGTGTGTGTGCACGCATCTGTGCCTGCGCACCTGTGTGTTAGCACCGGGGCTTGAACTCAGGGACTGGATGCTGTCCCTTAGCTTTTACACTCAATGCTGGTGTTCTACCACTTGAACCACACCTTTACTTCTGGCTTTTTGCTGGTTAATTGGAAATAAGTGTTTCACAGACTTACCTGCCCTGCCTGGCTTTGAACCTCCATCCTCAGGTCTCAGCCTCCTGAGTAGCTAGGAGGATAGGCGTGAGCCGCCGGCGCCCTGACCTATTCATCCCCATCCTTAGCTCCATTCTACTAAGTCCTACTGCAAGGTTGGCATCATGGCATTTGGTTCATTTTTGCCACACTGGGGTAAGATTGGTATTTCCCAACACAAACCAAGCTCGGCTGCAGATCGCCGTTCACAATTTCCAGCAAAACCAAGTCTTCCGCCCGATAGTGAGCCAGGAGAGGAACGAGAAATGTGCTCCACACAGCACAGACACGTCCGGAGCGGCAGCTCAGGACAGCCACACCAGGTCAAGTCCAGGGCGGCGGCTCAGGACAGCCAGAGCTGGTCAGTCAGTGGCCCTGCTGATTCTGGACCACATGCTCCTGAGTCTGGGCTGCACTGACATCAGAGCAGTGCCACAAGACTTAAGGCCTTTCTTGCGTTTCTCAAACCCCATATGAGCGGAATGTTCTGGAAACTCTTCTCATTTCTCCCACTACCAACTCCCTCAGTTCCCTCCTCAGTCCTCCTCTTCTGCCCCCCTCCTCAGTCCTCCCTCTCTGCCTTCACCTTGGCTTGGCCCCAGCAAGAAGGCTCCCTTTTAAGAAGGGGGATGGAAATGGAGCTGTGGCCCAAAGTGATAGGACACTAACCTTGAATAAAACAACAAGTTTAGGGAAAGTGCCCAGACCCTGAGTTCAAGCCCCAGGACACGTGCACACACACACACACACACACACACACACACACATACACAGGCAAGGAGAAACCAAGTACCTTAGAGACCTAGAGGAGGACGGGAAATCAGAGGCACGTCTGTGCCAGTAGCTCCCTCCTGTCTCAGACAGACCCCACGTGAACCTGCGGTGGAGCCTTCCAGCAGGCAGCGTGCCACCGAGTCCTCCTTACACATAAAATGGGTCCTGTGGCTCCTGACCACCATCCTCAGTGTGGCTGCCCGCTGCCCGTGGGCTCCCTAGCTCTGGGCTGCCTGTGTGGGTTTGGTCCTTGAGCCCCACCCAGCCCGGGGCTGTTTGACAAGAGCATTTTGTAAACATTGTTTTGTCTTTAATCCTCATCGGGTGAGCAGCTGTTCTGAGAGGCAGAAACCTGTAATCGCCCCAAG